AGGCTTTTTATTCATATTCACTCGTGGGAAATGGGCATCACTGGCTGGGTCAGCATTTATTGCCCATCCCTAATCACCCCTGAGAAGGTGGTGGTGAGCTGCCCTTCTTGAACTGCTGTAGGTAGACTCACAATGCCCTTAGGGAGGGAATTCCAGGATTTGGGCTCAGCGACAGTGAAGGAACGGCGATATATTTCCAAACCAGGATGGTGAGTGGCTTGGAGGGGAACGTGAAGGTGATGGTGCATCTCCATTACTCACTGAGTCCTGCATTGAGATGGCTGCACCAGCAACTCTCATTGTAATGCTTCAGCAAGGACACTACATATAGGGCAGGCACCCAGCTCACAGACTGGGCCTGGCTGCCTCTCAGCACTGTCCTGTCTGCCTTTCAGTCTACCTGGAGGCTCGCTGCATTCCTCCCTTGCATTTTTGCATGCTGCCTCCTCAGCCAGAGCTGCCAGGCTCACATTACCACCCTCTTGCCTCACCATCTTGTGCCAAATCCAAGATGGCAAGCCAGGCATGGTTCTCAGCAAGCTTCAGTCAGGTCAAACTTTCAGTCAGGGGGTCCTGGCCCAGTTAGTGAAGGGCAGCCTCTGATACCAGTCTGTGACTTGATCACAGTTAGTCAGCTGCTTGTAGTTTGCGATGAATACATCCCCAAATGTACAGATTTCAGGGAGTCACTGTACAAGAAGAATAACCAAATTTAGTAATTCCTAGATATAAAAAACTTAGAATCTGCACTTTCCCAGGTCAGTGTAACTGCATTTTCAATTCAGTGAATCTGAACCCCAGTCCAATCAGTGTATTTGCACCCAGAGATCAGTGTATCTACAACAGCTCCATCAATACCTACACTCCCAGGTCATGTACCATATCCTTAGCAAAAGGACATTGATGAACCAGATTATAGTTTTTTTACCCCGATAATTGACAATGGTTCAATGGTCATCATTAGACTCTTAATTCCAGACTTTTATTGAATTCAAAATCCACCATCTGCCATGGTGGGATACAAAGCCAGATCCTCAGAACATTACCTGGTCTAGTGATACCACCGCCACCCCCGGCCCCGTAGATCAGTACATTTGCAACTCCTCAATCAGGTGAACTGCTCTTAGGCATCAGTGTATCTACACCACCTCCATCTGCGCCCCCAGACCGGTGTATCTGTGCTCCCAGACCGGTGTATCTGTGCTCCCACACCGGTGTATCTGTGCTCCCAGACCGGTGTATCTGCACCCACAGAACGGTGAATCTGCACCCACAGACCGGTGTATCTGCACCCGCAGACCGGTGTATCTGCACCCGCAGACCAGTGTATCTGAGCTCCCAGACCGGTGTA